ATGTTGATTTTGAATTTTTGATTGACAGGAGTAAAGAATTAGAATAATTAGTGCTAATTTTAGAAGTTACTGTTGCCGTATTTATAATATAAACTATTGTTATTTTCGTAATTGATACCGATATATCGAGTGATGGCATGCACTAAGGGACCGATCGTTTATTACGTCTCAGGGGGGGGGGGGCGGTGGTTTTTTAAAAAACATTACCAATAAAATACGCACCCCCCTATATTTTTTGGAAATGAAAAAATGACCCCCCTGTTTAACTATATAGATTAAAATTTTAAAATATACCCCCCCACACACAATTGCACTAGGCATTTCTAGGCATCAAACCTCAGTGCATTAAATATTCGAATTACAAGGCCTCGCGAAATTGCTAATTCAATATAATATCGAATCATATATAAAAGCAAGATTGCGTATTTTAGCATTCAATACAAAACAGGAAAACGTTATACAAAAATATCATATTAATGAATGATATAAACATGTAAAGGTAAAAATGCAATAATATTTATATATTATTATAAAATGTAGATAAAAAATACTTTTTTTGAAACTTTTTCCGCCATGTTTTTTTTCAGGTGTAAACGATTGACTGCAATCATTCCGTTCAGCGGAGTCACTAAGTGGTGGTTATAGATTCATGTCTCGCTATTTATAATGCTAATCCCCACCCTAACCGCTAACCCTATTAGCGAGACATGAATCTATTTGAACAAACATTGAACTAAACTTTCAACTATAAAGAGTTGAATGCTAAGAACTAGATTCCAGTCTTCTCTATGCAAAAATTGCACACAATGGCGCAATCTTGTTCCCCGAGCATGCCCGTTCGCAGGTTAAGAGTGTATGCCCACCCTTAACCTGCGAACGGGCACGCTCGGTGAACGAGATTGACAATGGCGCAATCTTGCTTGATTAGTTTGTATCTGTTTTTCTTTTTTTCAAATTCAAAATGGTAGACATATTTTGAATTTCATCTCATAAACTAAATAAAGTCATTTTAATATGTAAGAATCGTTTGCAATTTCAAAATTTAACCCCCCCTCTTTTCCTTTCGGGAAACAAAAAACTACCCCCCCAAAATAGCCATATTTAAAAAATTAACCCCCCCTCAAAAACCACCGCCCCCCCTGAGCGTAATAAACGATCGGTCCCTAATATAACAAATATGATTTCACATTTCTTTAGAAGATAGATTCTGGAGTTGAGTTTTTTATAAGGCTGCATGTCAATGTGTGAATTGCAGGAAAGATTCTCATTTGAGAAAATGTTGTTAAACTATCCCTTTCTTATAGATCTTAATGTAAATAAGTTTGCTTCACATCATCTTTTTACCCTTTGATTCCTAGATTCGCGAAGCTAAGAAGTGAGTTTGAAAAATCGTCACTTATGTTATTCTCTACTGTATAACCTTCGTCGTACATCTGTTTATAGATAAATGCAGCAAGATAGTGAAAGTGGGTGAACCAATCGTACATCATCATTCTGGAACTACTTACGGAACATGGATGAGAGATCCTCTTGGGTTGCTTGGCCCAGAGAAGATTTGGTACATGAATGGTTATAACGGTAATAAAGTGTTGGAATTTGAAGGCATGAATCACTTTAAAGCTGGACAAATTTCCAAAACCTACATTCTACCACATAATTTTGATGGTACAGGAGCTGTTGTCTATGGACGGTATCTTTACTATAACAGGTCTGTAAAAATGTTTGGACTAAACGCAGAAATTTTTTGAAATTTTTAAATATTGAAATTTTAAAATTCTCATCGTAATTTCTAAATTCAGTCATAGGGAAAATTTTTACATGTCTTTATAATTAGCGATTTTGCCTGTAGATCAAAATTGCGTAATGCATGTACGGAGCACGTGGAACTCTAATAAGTGAGATGAGCATATACTATAGTGTTGAACTTATATAGTCATCAAGTCTCATTAACTGTATGTAAAGAACTTAATATCACTTGATTTTTAAGATAGACCTCAATTTCATTTATAGGGCAAACTCAAAGTATGTCGTGCAGTACAACTTGACTACAGGAACGGTTACCAGGCTGGTAATTCCTAACAGTAGTATAAAACCACGAACGCATTATTATCAATGGGGAGGCTACACCACAATGGATTTATCAGTGGACGAAAGTGGTTTATGGGTTCTGTATGCGTACGAATCTAACAGTGGAAAGTTGTGTGCCACCCAGCTCGATCCATTGACCATGTCAACCCTGCATACTTACTGTGGTATTTCCTCTGAGTCCATGAACAGCATGGGGAATGCATTTGTGGCATGTGGTGTTGTTTACAGCATCGATAGTTACAATTCAGCCACAACAACCATCAACTACGCCTATGACACAACCAAGAGCTCTGGGACCAATCCAGCCATTAAGTTTGTCAACAAGTTCACTTACAACAGTATGGTGACGTATAACCCTCGTGAGAAAGTTCTTTACTCCTGGAATAACAAACGCCAAATAACATACCCATTGGAATTTGAAGAGTAAAACAAGTTAAAGGATTCTGGCAATGAAATTTAAGTTGATATATAGTTGAAAACAGTGGTCTGGCAGTGGCGAAGCTAGCCATGGCAACTGGTCATGCTATGCCAATAAACCTGCATTTAAATAGGTTAAAGACAATACATTTCTAAAGTTTGAATGATGCAAATCATTAAAATTTCCATAGTATGATCTGTTGCTATGGCTAGCTTGAACACTTTGCGAAATATTAAGCCGGTTCACCACTAGGCGGAATTTTGCGCGCGGAGCAAAATTCTTCAAATCAAAGAGAAAATACAGTAGTCAGTATATAATGCGATGGGAATTTGAAACAAAACAATCCCAATGAACTCTATACGATTAACCAAATTTATATAAATCTCGAATAGGAAAAGACATACAGAAAAGGTGTAAAAAACATTATAGTTTCTGTGCTACCAGATTAACTTAAATTTCATTGCCACACGTATATCCTTTCAACACAGAATTAATAGAACGGACACGGACATGATTTAAGAAATTTCCCTTTTTTTTAACAAAGCACTAGTTTATAACAGTAGTCAGTCTAGATTGGTTAAAAGAATTCGTGCATGCACAATTATATACTCCGTATAATGTTTTGACATATAGGGTCGTAAACGGGTAAAAGTGAGTGGAAGTTGCCCAATTTTTACCGAAAATGAGTTGACTCATCATTTAGTTGAACTATAACTGATATCAGTACTCGATATAATAAGAATTATATATACGCGATATAGCATATATACTCAATTTATACTATAAACTTTATATACTCAGTACGTGTGCTTTGATTTCATTAAGAACTGCAAGAAATGAATCCTGTTGTTTATAAAGTTATTGTCAAGGGAGTGGTCATTATTTATGGGGGGGGTGGTACGGAAGAGAAAAGGGTTGGGTAAACAAAATTTTGAGTGAGTGAAAGGTTGGGTAAATGAAAAACAAAACAACTCAAGGGTTGGGCAATAAAAAAATATAGGTGTCTCCAAAGAAAGTACATGTGCAGACAACATGAAAGTTTATTTTACACTGCAGATAATTGCACAAGCAGTTATCAAGCTACCCGACACTAGACCCCCACCTGAAGATATCTCAAACGTGGCGGTGCAATTAAGACGATAGATAATGAGATGATAAACCATTAAACCTCATTAAAGGGATGCGGCAATATATTTTTTTATTATTTCATTTTAAAGTACTTTTAAAATTATATGTAAATCTCCTTTACCGATTTTGCGTAACTTTATTATTTCTTGAAATATTTTGACTTAAAATAATTTGCTGTCGGCCATCTTGGATTAATTTTTACCTCATTATCGGTGATTTTAGTAATAATAATAATAATAATAACACTTTATTTATTGAGGATAAACAGATAAAGTTACAACTTTTTTCCAATCTGGTCCTCCTAAACTCTATATACACAACAACAATAACATTAAACATGACTATATTCAGTACTTCCTATAGGAGTATGAACAAATGAAATCATGGGTACATTGTAAAGTATTAACCAGTACTACAATTCAGTTGTTCATACCTCGAGAAAGCCCCAATTTACTAATTAGGCAATTTTCTAACTATGTCTAAATTATATT